TGTCGTTAAAGTTTCGTTGAAACGAAGTTACGGAAAATTAATTAACACGCGGAGACGTAACAATATTCTAGTTGCGTTATCACTATTAGGAATATGAATGAATATACATATATTACCAACATAACGTGAACTTGTAACGCTAAAATCCGGGTTATGATTTTCCACGGTGGACAATAGCGCAGATTGTATCTTTGCGCAGAAAAACAACAACAACCGTTTCCAGTCGACTTTGTGATTTTAAAAATATGTTGTTGTTACTTCGTAAACTTACCGCTTACCCGTTGAGAGAGTCAAACTATGGTATTACAAAACAAGATCTTCTATGGTAGACAAAAAAAATATTTCATTTTTACTTATGAAAGAATATTTGATCTATCAATAAATTTAACAGATTAGATAATTATCACCTGATAAAATAACATAATGACTGACAGTGGTTGAAGTGGAAATATGGGACTGGGGGGGGGACTTACTTATTTGGTCATTCATCTTAGAAAACTTTAAAAATCATTTCTAATGTGATATTTTATTCATATACAGTACATTAAAAAGAATAAGTTACAGACAGTTTTAATGACAGATTCGCTCAATCTTGGAAGACTTTGTATGACAACGTAAAAGACTCGTCACGCCCATCACTCCTTGATCCACCTAACTCTGGGCATCCGCTTGCTCGGTGAAGACCATTTTTCCCGTATAATCGTATGCTCCCTTTGTTCCATATAGCTAGTGGGGTTCTCCTGAGATAGGGACTGCCCCCCCCCCCCTCACTTGCACTACTGCTACCCGACCAAAGTTATGTTAAGATATATTAATAATTGGCATCACTAAGCCGCATGGTTTGATTGTGCGTACAGGTTCTGGAATAAATAAAAATTTACCTAACTTCTCAGGTTCGAAGTTAATTTCCCTAAATTCCGCTTTATCGAATATAAACTTTTCAGGTTTTTTTCAGGTTCGTGATTACCTGGATTGAAATCAACAAGGCAACGGTTAAAGCAGCGTTCGTCTTATTCTGCCCTCCCCTCCTCCCTCAGTGGCTCATCTGTAATTCAGTAGGCTTACAACGCAAAAACTCGGGTTTCGATACCTGTGATGGACAGAGCACAGACAGCCCATTGTGTAGCTTTGCACTTGACAACAAACATTCTTACTCTTGTTTTACTGCGTAGAATGATACGTTGATTATTTTAATTAAGTTTTCATTAACAAATTTTTCGTTTTTAATTCAGCAAGCCGTAAGAGGAGGTGAAAGGATTTTACACATCCTTCACATATCATTTCTATAAATTAATGTTGTAAGTTATATATTTTTAAGGTTTTGTTTGCTAGAGGGAGATGCTATGTTCTAACCTATTCGAAAGTAAATTATATATATACGATATAGTTAAGATAAGAGAAAGAGATCGAACGTACCTGAGCCTCCCTGGTCTTTAAAATCTAAAACCCTACAAGGGAAGTGTGTGTGTGATTAAAATAATGTAGCGTGACTTTCAAGACTGAAGCAGTTAATGTATCAGCTATCATGGGTGCCTTGAACAACTAAGTTCTTTTGTTTTATGTTAGTTAGCGTCATTTGTAATGTAGGCCTACAGTAAATTTACTGTAATACCACTACCAGTGTTCTAATTTGTAGAAACGTTAAGTAATGAAATGAACTTATTCGTTATACTTTTATAAATAAATTATAGTTTATGTGGACTGTACTTTCAATTATTTGTACCTGATAATTCAAAAGAATCCATTAAAGAGAAAGGTACGTTACCATAGTAGTTTATTTTTTTCCCCTGTTGTAACCATAAAATAATAATGCCAAATTTTTCTTTGTAAGCGCAAAGCTACACCATACAGACTTCTTACTGATGTCATAAGTGTCTTAGTAACTATGATACGGCGCCATCTTGACGGACAGAAGAAAAGAAGCGTCTAAGAACATCGGCAAACAATCGTATTTTGGCACGTTAGATATTAAGTCAAATGCTAGATACTTCACAAAATTGTTGATAATTGATAAAACTGCCCCTTAATAAAAATAAGTAGAGTCATGATGTAAAGTTGTCACCAAATATCAGAACCGCAGAAATCGTGATATTTAGTCCAACCCAATACACGATATAAGAGCTGAAAGTTGACAAGGGGTACAAAGGCCTTCGCTTACCTGGTTGCTAGTTGGGTTCCAAATGTTTCAACTACAGTAATTAACAACTACGTTATGTTGGATTCAGACTTGCTCGGTGAAGGCCAGTTTTCGCGTTTAATTGTATGCTCTCTATTATAGTTCCTCCACAAACTTTCCTATAATATTGTTTCAGTTCCCCTCGGTCTTTCCCGTGGCAAAAAGGCTTAATTCGAGTCCTCTGCTAATCAATCAGCATTATAAACGAAGATAAAATTATTAAATTATGGTCTGTGTTGTGAAACATAGATTTAAATAAATATAGGGCCCAAAATTTCCGATAAAAAGATCTGAAATGTTTTTTTTTTTTAACACAACTCTGATTTTGAACTCGAAATGGACAAATTAGGAGGAATGTGGAATAAAAATATCTAAATTTAAGGTGCTTTTCATCGTAAATTTTAGGCCTATTTGCTTCTAAAGCTTCGCCAGCTTTCGGCATTTAAACTATAACTTTTAAAAGATGTAAATATTGTTTCCATGTAAAATTATTGCATTGTACTATTACTATTATAACTGAAAACTGTTTACGTTCAGACCTATTTTTAAAATTACTAGCAATGAAATGTAGACGTTGCTACTCTCTAGTATCAGTCATGGCGATGTGCAGGCATTTGTTTCGTTGATCTTTGATATCTACCTGGATTTCTGTCTTTGAGTTTCAGTCATTTAGGCAAGCGGGGGAAAAAAAGACTTTTATTTATCCCTGTCACAAAGGATTGGATTATATAATTGTTGTTATATCAGTAAAATCCTTTAAAGGTTTGTTTCAATCGAGGCAGGGTTGGAAACTATTGCCTGTCATTGAAGATAGTGGACAAAAATTATGTGGCGGAAAGTGTAAACCCTCTTTGGTCTATCTGCGCTATGTCCATCGCTGGTAGTAAATCCTTAATTTTTATCACTGTGCAATGTTAAATTTAGAAGAAATCTGGCAAAAAGTGTTTGCCCCAGTACAAGATAAAATTATCGAAAGTTTAAGGCATTGACAAAAATAAAAAACTTAATATGTTATAAGATAAAACGCAAAATTATTTATTATGCTTGTAATGCTATAGAAGACGCAACATTGAAGATCCATCCCTATCATACTACATTCATAGATGATATTTTGGAAACTAATTTTTGACAGTTTTGCTCTCTTTATCTCCGGTTCCTCGCTTTGTCTTCGTAAGAATCGTTTTTAATAGCTGTTGAAAGCTTTGTAAGTTCCAACACCGCATATTGTAATCAGAATGAAAGCCCAATTAGGTGCAAAGTAAAATATTCTTTGATCCATTTGTTTCTGCCAAAGATCTCGGCGTTTTGCAAAGGCGGGGGAGGGAGGGGCTTATTTTTGTTCTTGTTATAGTGAGAATCTACAAATGTTTTCCCATCACTTGCTTACTTTTCACGCTATATTTAACTAATTTGTTAATCTATAAATTTTAATTTCTTCTATAGCCATGGCCAAGTGGTTAGGGAGCTCGACTCGCAATCTGTGGGTCGCGGGTTCGAATCCCCGTCTCACCAAAAATGCTCGCCCTTTCAGCTGTTTGGGCGTCTTTATGTGACGGTCAATCCCACTATTCGTTGGTAAAAGAGCAGCCCAAGAGTTGGCGGCGGGTGGTGATGACTAGTTGCCTTCCGTCTAGTCTTTCACTCTAAATTAGGGACGGCTAGCGCAGATAGCCCTCGTGTAGCTTTGCGCGAAATTCAAAACAAAACAAACCTATATCCTTAGAACAAATTTGTCAATGACATGAACACATTTTTATATTTTTTAATTGAGATGGAGAGAGTTTTTATCTGCCAGTAAAACAATATTTCATTAGGTGACAAAACCTTGCTGTTGCTAGGACGTTTAACCGTTTTGCTGCATCCTTATATTAACTACGGTGATTTTTAACTACAGAACG